CATCATTAGTTTAACTTTTTTATTTTCTTTAGTCCAATTGTTTTTAATGTTCTTTTTTGTTTCTGCATTTTTTTCCCTACTTGCTTTGATTCTGTTTTATTTTCCTATATTTTAATCGTGTAAAGCACTTTGCATTGTCTTTGTACTGAATTGTGCTATACAAATAAATTTGCCTTGCCTTGCTTTGTAAATTATGATGTACGCATTAATTCATTTTTCAAGGTCCTGTTGAAATATTAATCCTTTAATCCTGGAAAGGATCTTTAGTTGATAGAAGGCGAATTTGTTACTGTGTTTGTGAGCGTTTGAGTCCAGTCCTACCACCAGATTATGAGCCTCTTGGGTTTTTTTTTAGCTGTTATAGGTTAAGCAGTTTGCTAGTTTAAAAAAGCTCTTCCTTCTTTCCAATAGGTTTTTAGTTTAGTTTGGATTCAGCGGAAGAAAATGAAGACACATCTATTAAAGGATTCCCTCAGTACATCTACTGTGAGCTTGTTTGGGTTCATAGTTACCTTAAAGTATGCAATAGCTATGGTAACTTATGCTGTTATTTAAGGCTGAAACAATTAAATGAAATAAATAAATTATTGAAATTATTGTCAATTAATTTAGTTGTTGATTAATCGTTAAATGTAGTGTAGATGCTCTAAAACACATCTTTAGCTGACAGATAAATACTTTGCATTTAAGATAAAAAAAAATAAAATAAAAATGGTTGCCTGCAAAATGCTCGATCAAGAACTCCTCAAGTGGAAAAAATACCTTTCAAACACCGCTAACAGATCTTATGATGACTAAACTATGCAGTATGTTAATTTTAATGGTTTATATAATGAAACAAAATGTATTTATGCTAATAAAATAAGTCAATATCTTTTCTTGAATTTGATCAAATGAAGACGAACTACATATAGTTTAGTTGACAAACAAATTATTGCCTCTTTATTCTCAATCTGTTGAAGAAGCGCTGTGCAAGAGATTAAATATTTCACTTGATGAAACTTACCCCAGTCGGCCTCAGCAGATGGCCGCTCACACTAAGCCTGGTTCTGCTGGAGGTTTCTTCCTGTTAAAAGGGAGTTTTTCCTCTCCACTGTCGCTACAAGCATGCTTAGTGTGAGGGATTGCATCTGAGTCAATGAGTCGATGCAATCAACTGGTTTTCCTTTGATAGAGAACTTTCAATCAATTTGACTGTATGATCTGGTTGAACTGTAAAGTGCCTTGAGATGACGTGTTGTAAATTGGCGCTATATAAATAAACTGAATTGAATTGAACTTGATCTCATTATGAACATGAAACTCTTCCATATTTCTTGTCTGAAGGTGTCCAGCAGGTGTTGGTGATCAAGGTGGAGCCTTCTTCTGAGGAGACCTACTGGATTCCTAGACCCGAACATGAAGTCTCTGTGATGAACAATGATAATAAAAAGGAACCTCAGTCTTCGGCACTTCTTCACAAACAAACCTTGGAGAGCAGAGAAATGTTGACCCTGGAGCCAAATCGAGATCTAAAGAACGACCCTGCTAGTGAAACACCATGTGATAGAGAAAAAAAGTCACACAGCTGCTCTGAATGCAGTAAAACGTTTAAACACCGGGCGGATCTATTGAGACACAATCGGGTCCACACAGGAGAGCGACCCTTCAAATGTTCTGTTTGCAATGCAGCTTTTAGAAGAAAATACACATTGGCCGAACACACAAGGACCCACACTGGAGAGAAGCCATACAACTGCCCCCTTTGTGAACAAAGCTTTGGCCGCAAGTCAGGTCTGACCTGCCACATGAGCTATCACACGGGAGAAAAACCTCTGCTGTTCGGTTTGTAAGGCGGAGTTGAGGGATCAATTGGATTTTGTTGAACAAACTCTATGTGTTAGTTTGGTTTAGTATTTCACTTCATGCATTCAGTGTCACAAAGGCGAACCAATTTGAGTTTGTTGTCAAACAAAAACCAATTAGGAAAGACACCAGAGGTACTGATGGGTCATTTTTGGACTATTTATTGTAAGTGGTGAAAAATTAATCCTGATGTGTTTCCTGTGTTCCTGTGAAAACAATCAACTAAAATTGAAATTATATTTAATCATTGTGTAAATCAGTATTTCTTCAAAATATGATTAAATAAATGTATTACTTTCTGATTAGTGGAACAATTACACCAACAAATGTATGTTTCTTTCTCTCAATTCTTTAAAGACACGGCTGAGAACTGAACCTTATTCTTAAACAGACTTGGTGCTAAAATTACTGCAGGGTGGAGTCCAAACAAGCAAGCTGCTCCGTGCTCAGAGGAAAATGGTAAATGGCGCCTAGCAGTGGTGAATATTGTAACTGCAGTTTATTATAATACAAGTATGTGAATAGTTCTGTCTGTAATTAATAATCGGCAGACATTTAAGCAAAGATTCCAATATGTCTGCAGTGTGGCGACTACAAATCTGATATTCATGACGACAGTACTGCTGCTGAAGCTCCTCAGAAATGTTATTAGCACCAAGAACAGTAGTGAGAAGTTCGGTCTGCTAGGTGACAGAGCGCACGGGAAGTGAATGCCACAGAAGGCTGGACCTGTGCGAATCCATAGCTAAAACTCTTCTGGCCTCTTTATTTTCACAGCCCTGGAAGGATCCAGTCCAGGTAGACCGGGTCTTGGAGGATGCAGCCTCGGAAATCGAACACCCAATAAATCATGGGATACCCAAGGCTTTGTAGGATACACCAGACCGTATTTCCAAAAAGAAGGCTGCGTTTGCCGCATAACAGGGAGTCTTCCATTCCGAACAGGCCTCGGCGCTGCGCTATGAATTAATTGGCCGATGAATCGGGCCTTTGGAGGACGCAGCCCCTGAATTCGATCTCAGCAATGCTGTTGTGACTAAACACCGGATGCTCGGTGCTCAGAGGAAAATGGTAAATGGCGCCTAACAGTGGTGAATATTGTAAGTGCAGTTTATTATAACGCAAGTGTGTGAATAATTCCGTCTGAAATTGATGAAAATAGTTATTTTAATGGTTATTGAGTCAGATATGTGGCGGATAATGTTTGGTTTATTGAAAGGCTAATGGGTTTGGTTCACGTCTAAGCTCAGATTCTAATATATCTGCAGTGTGTGGACTATAAATATGATACTGTACTGCTGCTAAAGTGCCTCGAAAATGTTATTGGCACCCAGAACAGTAGTGAGAAATTTGGTTCTTTGCTTGATTTTAATGTTAACTGTCACTGTTGCGAGGCAACAATGCCTTACGGTCGGTGAATGACGAAGAAGGCTGGACATGTTTGAATCCACAGCCAAAACTCTTCCAGCCTCCCTATTTTCACAGACCTCGAAGGATCCAGTCCTGGTAGACCGGCTCCTTGGAGGATGCAGCCTTTGAAATCAAACACGTCCATAGTTCTCTGGTCGTCTTCTTTTGGATTAATTTTTTGGGGTACGGGTCGGGCTGAGCTAACACTGCACTTAATAAATATACACAAGTACACACACACAAACAAAAACTTGACTGATCTCAACTAAGCCCTGACATAGAGCCCTGTGTTGTTTAAAAGGACACTGATACCCTTGCTTGTAAACCCCTACCCAAAATTATTCTTCAAAGGAAACTTTTTCACGTGCTTTTATCACGTACGTTTACCGTCATTTTGACTTTCAAATCAGTACAGTTATAGCCTTCATATCGACACCCACTATAGAATCCGTATTTCTTCTAAAAAAAGAGTATTTTTGGCACATAAAGGGTGCTCGCTAAGAATCCTTCATGTAACTAATGGAAATAAGTTAAAGCACTTGACGGGAACTGGATTTTATGATCTGCTTACAGTCCAGAGTGGTCTGTTTCATTTATCTCAACGGACACATAGATCTCAATTAGACCAACAACTCCAAAGGGTTCATAGAGTATAATATTTCCTCTGAGGTATGTTCGATCTTCTTTGACTCTACTTAACCAGTAAAGCTGCACATTTTAGGGAGAAGGTAACATTTCAGCCTTTTCTTAGATTTGGAGATACATCAACATTGTATGGAAAAGGACCAGCAGTAAGTTTATGATCATTAAGGAAAAGAGTAAACTGGTCCCTACATGTTTACGAAAAAAATATTTCTTATACAAAAAGCCAGAGAGACCTTGTTATCATTTAATACAAATTTATGTTTCTTTAATTAAAACTTTGATGGAAAACCTTCCTGGTGAGATACATCCTTACAGTGCTTTGATCATCAATTTCTTAAGGAGATATCAGCTGGGCTGATGCCATCAACAGCTTTGATTATAAATGATAAGAGTTGGGCCTGTTTTTCAGTGCTTAGTCCTGTTTCGCTCTAAGACATCACTATGGGCTCAGAGCCCATCTGCAAACTGTTTCTCTCCTCGACAGAGCCACCTATGGAGCTTGTTAATGTTACCTCTTCTAATATAGAAAGTATCTATAGATCAGTGCTTCTATGTTCGTTTTTTTTTTACTACTTCTATCTCCTTGAACCATGGTCAACCTCGGCAGAAGGCCACTTACACTAAGTCTGTTGCTGCCTGAGGTTCCTTCCTGTTGAAAGGTCATTTTTCCTCTCGGTTTTTCCTGAATGCATGTATGTTGTGAGGAATTACTGAAGAATCAGTGACAAAATGCAAGTAAATGTTTCCTGTTGCCACATGCTCATACAGGAGGAGTGAATCCTGCAAAGTCAATAACTTGATGCAATCAGCTGTTTTTCATTAGATAGAAAACTTTTTATAGATCAGTCTGTATGATGGTATCCAACCTGTAAATTGCCTTAAGGTGACATGTGCTTAAAATTGGCACAAAACAAACTGAATTGAATCCTTTTAATTCAATTTAATTTCCCTTTAGGACTAATAAAGTATTTTTAAATGGAATCACACTCATGTTTATGTCTATTTACATTTACTTTATTTTTTTTAAGTATAATTTTTTTGTTGTGCATTAATGCTTGTCTGCCCAAGTCTGTCTCCGAGATTGACTTATGATCTTTTCCATGGTGGACGCTGTCTTGGTTTTCTTTTTTTTTTTTTATCATTTTTACAACCTCAACAAGGTGTTTACAGGCTTTTTGTGTTGAATTTCCAGGAAAGAGATTAATCACTGAAATGAGACTTGTATTTCAGAGAAACCTGTTTTCACGCATAACTGAAAACAGCCCTGTGAACACTTTGCACTGTATCTCAGAGGACGTCTGATGAATTCAGTGTTAATATCACTGCCACTAAATTTGTATTTCATAATCAGATGAATAAACCTCTAACAATGTCACGTCTTATTGTATTTGTATTACTTGAATGATGCAGGTTTACAGTTGCTAAGATCACCGTTCTCCTTGAAATTTTTATTTAGAGGATTAGGGCCACTGAAAAAATTAAAAAGTAAACTGATTTTTATATTTTATTTCTGTATAATATAAGAAAAAAGCCAGGATTCTGAGATTAAAGTCAGAATTCTGAGATTAAAGTCGGTGAGAAAAAATTCAGAAATTTTAAGAAAAAAGTCAGAATTCTGAGAAAAAGTCAAAATTCTGAGATTAAAGTCATAAATCTGAGATTAATATCAGAATTCTGAGATTAAAGTCAGAATTCTGAGAAAAAAGTAAGAATTTGCTCAGAATTCTGACTTTTTTCCCATATTAAACTGAAGTAAAATGTAAAAAATCTGTTAACTTTTTTTTTTTTTTCCCCCCCACTGGCCCTAATCTTTTTCCATATAACCTAAACTCATTCCCCTGTACAGTTGTGAGGGGATTAAGATGTGTTTATATTAAAAAAATTTAAACACTCATGAGAATCAGACATGCAGTTTATTTCAGATAACAGCAGTGAGTCAAAAAACTTAAACCCAGTAACAGTGATGTTATACAGTTTCCACAGAGATTCTTTGCAAAAGTATTCACACCCCAGAAATGTTCATTTTTTCTATTTCGAACCAAATAATCCAAGTTTTTATTATTTTATAATGTACAAATATATTGGATTACAAATACACAATTTCTCATAGTGTCAATATTTAACTTTCAGCAGATTCTCAAACGTCTGAATTATGACTGGGACACTGACAACTGATCCCATGTTTTTAATAAATCCATAACCTCATACTTCTGGGCCGAGTTACAATCATTTAACCAAGTATAAAACATACTTTTCAGGAAATCCACATTTCTGTTTTAAATGTGTTTTAATTGTTTTGATGTAATGTAATTTTAAATGTTGTTTTCTCATGAACTGAAAGCTGAAAAATATCCAAATTAAGAATTAAACAGTCTATAATTAAACTTTATTGTTTCACCATGGTAATTGAGTTACCAAATTCAATTCACTTAGAATAGAATTCAACTTTGTAATTTTATTGTTTCAAGTACAAAGCAATGAAATGTAGTTCACATTTATCCAGAAGTGCTATACAGGATATAAATATTTATTTGAGCAATATTCTAGCTTAAAGAATGGATAAATGTCCCGACACAGGTTTGGCCAGTATTTAGCTCGATCCATCCTCATGTCATTTCTGACCCACTTCCTGGCCTTTTGTCAAAATACCAATTCCTCCCAAAACCTAAGAACTGATCATGCTGCCCACTGTGAATTCAACTGCAATTAAGTGATAGTGATTAAATAATATAGCAAAGGTCTCACCGTCCTTCCTGCAATTATAGACTAGTTTGTGTTGGTTAAATGAAAACCCAATAACCCAATAATAAGAAAAAGCTGCAGCATCTTTACTTTACTAGTTATTCACCAGTGTGGTTTTTCACATGTTTTACACAAGCACTTTTCCATTTGAAAGTCGCCTGACAGACAGAGCAGCTGAACGGTTTTTCCTCTGTGTGACTTTTCATGTGACGCTTCAGGCTGTTGGACTGTCGGAAGCTTCGGCCGCAAACAGAACAGCTGAAAGGCTTCTCTCCCGTGTGGATTTTTTTGTGTTCTGTCAAATAGGCTTTTCTTTTAAAGGCGGTTTTGCAGACAGAACAGCTGAATGGTCTGTCCTCTGTGTGGAACCTTGTATGTTCCATTAAAGTTACTTTCAGAGTGAAAGCTTTGTTACAAACGGAGCAGCTGTAGGGTTTCTCTGTAGTGTGGTGCGTCATGTGATAGCTTAAACTCTCCTTCCTTCCAAACTTTTGTCCACAGACGGAGCAGCTGAATGGTTTTTCTTCAGTGTGGCACCTCATGTGACGAATAACATTTTCCTTCCTGTTAAACTTTTTCCCACACACGGAGCAGCTGAAAGGTTTTTCACTTGAGTGACATCTCATGTGAGACGTGACAGACTCCTTCCTTGAGAAACTCTGACCACACAGTGAGCAACTGAAAGGTTTCTCTCCACTGTGCGTTCTCATGTGTATCACTAAGCCTCGCTTCCAGGTGAAAGCTTTGCTACAGATGGAGCAGCTGAACGGTTTCTCTCCTGAGTGGATTATGTTGTGTCGTACCAAACACGATCTGCGTTTAAATACTTTACCACACTCACCACAGATGTGGACTTTTTCTTTTCTCTCACAAGTTCCATCATCAGCAGGAAATGTATTTCTCACAGAGTCTGAACCAGATTCGCTGCTCTCCTCCCAGTTTCCATCACTGACGTCTGTTTGTGAGGAGTCTGAGGTTTTGTCTTCCTTTTCGGTTTCTGAACACTCATCTGGTTCTGGTCCTTCATCGTCTCTGTTCTGCTCAGCACTGTGATGAAGCTCGGCGAGCAGAGCTTTCTCTTCATCATCTTCGCTCTTTATAAACGCAGGATCAAATATAAACTGCATGATCTCAGCATCCTCCTCTTCTTCTTTAATCTGTGGGGGCCTCTGGTCCTGCTGCTGCAGTCCGGGACTCTCATTCTGCCTTTGAACTTGCAGCTCCTCTTTGACCTGCTTGACATCTGCAGTAAAAACAAACATGGATACAATAAAAGACAACATGAATAGCTAGGATATTACCACAAGATGCAATTCATTTAATTAAGCAAAATTAATCTAATGCTTTAATAAATCCAAAATGTGGCTTTTCTGACTTTCCATTATAATATTTTTAGTTTGAAAGGACGATCGTACAGAGGTAGAGCTAGTGACCCATAAACCGAGGCCTTAGTCCTTAATGCAGCTAACCAAGGTTTGAATTTAGAGCTGTTTTCTCCTGGTTTTTTCTTTTTATCTTTCCATCTACTAATAAATAAAACAATGGTCACTAGACTTTATGCTGAAAGCAATAAAACCAGACCTACAGTTTATGGTCATCCAAATCTCCCAGGTAGACTGTTTTATTTACTCCTGTTTTTTTCACAATACGGATATTAGATAGTATTTGTTGGCAAGTTTTAAAAGAAAATGACCCTGTCTTGCAGAAGTGATCCCGTTATTAGGAAATTCACAAATTTCCTGTTTCATGCATACAAACATTGTGTTCCTCTTAAAACCATTTCATATCAATTTACTTACATCATGCCATCTTTTTTCTTTTGCAGTTATTAGTTTTTAAAAAGTATTTAAAAATATTTTATAATGAAAAAAGTAAAAAAAAAAACATTGCAATTTATTTACCAAATGTGTCGGTATACTTTGTATTTTTCTCTGTCCTGATATATATTTGGGTCTTTTAACCTGACTGATTATGATGCCTGAAAATCAAACCAAAATAATTTAAGCTCATATATGTTAATAGTTTTTTTTTTTTTTTTTACTAATTTACTTCCAGATTACAGAAAATTACAGGTAAATCCGCAGAGCTGATCAAAGGATGTTTAACTAGTTTTTGTATTCATGTGGTTATATTTCTCAAACGACATATGCAAAATCTGAACAAGTTTACTAATTAAATAAGGTTTTTCAAATTAGAATTAACATTCACTCCTCATTTACTACACGATGGTGTTTTATTTTTTATGATTGCGTTCTTCTGTTTGACTGATAGCCGATGATAAACCAGGAATTCCTCCACAAATATGTGCAATCTTTCTTACGTTTATGCTATGTTTTGACCTCAGTCAGCTTTTAAAAAGGAGGGGTGACATTTTACATCTGTATTTACATTTTTTTATTACCTTAATACAAATAAATAAAGATAAAAGTCTGATTTTTCACATCCAGATCCTTTAAATTCCCTGCATATTCAGATATTAGTACTAGTAATTATAAAAATTACTTTTGCCTTGTGTTTTAGGCTTTCTTATTTGACATTTTAAATCATAATTTGCTGACAGTTTAAGGAAAAAGGATGGTTACCATGGGAGTCAATCTCCTCACTGTGTTCCTCCATCTGTCGATTTGTTTCCTCCTAATGATTTATTCCAAAATCACAGCAGCACAGTTCCTCCCCTTTAACTCCTCCAGAAACAACATACTTTACTGACAGTGATTACTGTGTTCCCTACAGATGACTGAAGGCTGATGCTAACGAGCTAAGCTAACCTTAAGCTCGTCTGATGCTCCGCACAGAAATCTAATATGAACGAATAATAATTATTCATACGTGATGCCAAAAACCGCACTGGTCTTCCTTTACGGAACACAAAATAACATAAGGTTGAAACGTCAAACTGTGTAAACAATTATATTTTTAAAAACTACCAGCTCCAACTGTTAGAAGATAATCACTTCCGCTGGTGAGCTCATTGTCCTTCAAAATAAAAGCTTCATCAAAGTTAAATCAAGCTTGAGAAAAAGAACTGGAGAAAATAATACTTCTAAGATAATACTAATTCTAAAATTATACTTCAAACGATATTATGGTATCGTTTCAGGACAATCTTATCATAGTTAATAATAATAATAAAACAAAGAAATGTGATTGTCTTTAAACCCTCTGTGATACAAATGGTATAATCACTGTTTACCTCTGAAAAAAAAAAAAAAAAAAAATGTATTTCCAAAAGAAAGGAAATGTTTCAGTGATAATTTTATTCTAAAGTAATGCAGTTTATAATTTGAATATATTTGATAACCAAACTGAATGTTAGCAGCTGTACCTCTGTAAGGTTGGATTTCAGTACTGAAAAGCTTAAATAAGGTCATATATATATATATATATATATATATATATATATATATATATATATATATATATATATATATATATATATATATATATAACTTTTATGATCTAACTTTCATCCATTTCCAAAAGCAAACAGAAAGCAGGTCAAAGACTCTGACACCATTTTCTATACCTACCTTAGCTACAGTGATGCCAGGGGTTTGGAACCCATCTCAAGCAGTTATTGGGAGCAGGATAGAAATCTATGAAATCTAACCTTCTGGTTTTTCATATGCAGAAAGCCCTTTGAGTGCCCAGAGAGAGCCAGTAAGTATAACAGTGGTCCATCTAAGGCCATAACTACCAATGACCCAACTGTATAATATATAATTTTTATTTAAAGATTTAATTTTTTCAATCAGCTCCTCAGTGCCACCAGAAAATATTATTACCCCTGAATTTTAAGTTGCTTTTATTTATTTTTTTACAAACTTAATCATCATCTTAAAAAAGACAAAGGTCAAATAATGACAAACAAAAGCAATATATAAGATTTTATTTTTCTTTAAGACTTTACAAACAGTGCAAACATAATAGGCACATAAGTATTCACACACTTTTCCATGACCTACAGTAAAGGAGTAGCTGAGAAGTAGGTGTTTTGAACACCTTTATTAGACCTCCACCTGAGGGAAATTCAGTTGATTGAACATGAAACACTTGTTAAAATTGTTTTTTTCTTTTCTTTTCTTCTTCACAAAAATCTATCAGAAGTAATACGATCGCCCCATTGGTTCATTAATGTGAAAATGGTTTAATTGGAATACTAGAATACTGCAAGATAACATAAAATATACAACAATAAAACAAAAGAAATGTGTGTAGAATGAAAATATTTTAAATTCAATGAGTCCAAATCCAGATTAACTTATTTTTCTGGGAAAAAAAGATAAATGACAGTAAGGTAAGTGCAATCACAAAATATAAACTTAATCCCTTTTATTAATTATATATATTTTTAATCTTCATGCAATTTTAAACTAAGTTATACGAACAAATGTTGCCTTCAGTATTTTACTTACTTCAATTAAAACTAATGCCACATACACAGAGATCAGTGGAGTTTATTTCAGATGTATAATCAGGTAAATAACGCTCATCAAGCTGACTTCTCTTTACAAAATTAAAATTAAACAATGTATTTTCTGGCTCCATATTCTCCTTCTCTTAAAGGAGCTGCCACAAACAACTTTTAAGGAGTTCAGCTCCTTGCAGCTGCCTGAACAGACACTGATGTCCTTTAATTAATGACAGCTAAAAAAATTTATTTATTTACTGGTTATGAATGACTTCCCTCCTATTTCTTCTGCAATTTGTCTCCTCAGCAAATTGTAGTCCATAGGCTCCAACCCACAGCATTTTTGTTCCTTCCTAGTTCCTTTCGTATTAATAAAAAAAAATATCCTGATTCATACAATCAACTGAAGTTTTGCATTTGTCATGCCAAGATCAAAACTTGCCTATAACCTAATTATAAGCTATACTGATTTGTGACAAAGTAACTATATATTCTGTCATTTCCTTTCAATTTAGTTTTTATCTGATTGGGCTAGTTATAAGCTTTGACAGATCATGATTCTATCGTAAAATGAAACAAATCTCTCAAATATGACCTAATTTTCAGGTAGTTAGCGATGACTAACATAAAAGGAAAAATGAAAATTATAAAATAACAGAGAGGGAGCAAAATTACTTCAAATTTTCTCCTTCAAAATCTGCTGTAACAGAGCAGCTGATGAAACTTTTTAACAGACTTATATCTAATCTTACCGTAGCTTGTATTTGAAGCCAAAAAGCTATTCAGCTCCATGTTTTTTGATATGCTTTACACAAGCATTTTTCCATTTGAACTTGACATTACAATAGGGACAGCTGAAAGGTTTTTCTTCAGTGTGTCGTCTCATGTGGCGCTTCAGAGTTGAGCTTTGACCAAAGCTACGGCCACAGGTTGAGCAGCTGAAAGGCTTCTCTCCAGTGTGAATCTTAATGTGAACAGCCAGGGAGGATCTTTCTTTGAAAGAGGCTTTACAAACAGAACAGCTAAACTGTCTGTCCTCTCTGTGGAACCGGGTGTGTTTTATCAGAGTAACTTTTGAGGTAAAAGCTTTATTACAGACGGAGCAGCTGTAGGGTTTTTCTGATGTGTGGTGAGACATGTGATTTACCAAACTTTCTTTTCGAACAAACTTTTTCCCACATAGTGAGCAGCTGAAAGGTTTGTCTTCAGTGTGTAGTATCATGTGCCGGGGTACACTATCACTCCGCTTGAACTTTTTCCCACAGACTGAGCAGCTGAAAGGTTTGTCTTCAGTGTGTAGTATCATGTGCCGGGGTACACTATCACTCCGCTTGAACTTTTTCCCACAGACTGAGCAGCTGAAAGGTTTTTCCTCAGTGTGACTTTTTGTGTGCTGCTGTACACTAGCTTTTCTTTTAAACTTTTTTCCACAGATGGAGCAGCTAAAAGGCTTTTCTTTTGTGTGACTTCTCATGTGGGAAGTTACAGTTTCCTGGCTTTTAAACTGTTTTCCACAGTCAGAGCAGCTGAAAGGTCTTTCTGTAGTGTGGACTTTCATGTGTCGATTCAGATTCTCCTTGTTCTTGAAACTTCTTCCACAGGTGGAGCAGCTGAAAGGTTTCTCTTCACTATGTGTTCTCATGTGTTGCACAAAACCCCCCTTCCATATGAAAGCTTTGCTACAGATGGAGCAGTTGAAGGGTTTCGTTCCTGTGTGGATTATGTTATGTCTTAACAAATTTCTTCTGTGGCTAAATATTTTACCACATTCTTTGCAGCTGTGTAACACCTCACCTCTCATACATCTTAGATCACCAGTTCTGGTTTCTATGGAGCCCAAACTTGAGTGAACTTCACTGCTCTCCTCCCAATTACCATCACTGACATCAGTGTCTGAAGAGTCAATAGCTTCATCTACGTTATTTGATCGTAAAATGTCTTCCTGTCCGGTAGAGAGTCTGTTTTTGTCAGGCTGTTTGTGATGAAGCTTTGAGAGCTGAGGTTTCTCTTCATCATCTTCACTCTTAACAGATACAGGATTGAATATGAACTGCGTGACCTCAGCATTGTGCTCTTCCTCTTTAATCCGTGGGAGTTTTAGGTCCTTCTGGTCCAGGCTGGGCCTAAGGTTCTGCTCCTCAGCAGGAAGCTCCATTTTTATCAGCCTAAGCTGCAGGTTGCCTATAGGAAACACAAACACAGATGGCCTTAGCAATCAATTTCCAGTCAAATGTCTTGCAGGATGTAATATTCTTATCACACTTTGAATCCCTTTTCTAGACTGACAAATTCACATGTTGTTGTGCAAATGGATTATACAACAGATGGAAATCAAGACACACTAAATAAAGGAGTGGTTCTGCACGTGGGCACCACAGACCCCTTTTCACTACCTATGCTTTCTGGCTGATGTTTGGGTCACTTTTTAATGTTGGTGATGCTTTCACACTCATGATAACATGAGACAAACTCTACAACCCACAAAAGTGGCTCAGGTATTGCAGATAATCCAGGATGGCACATCAATGAGAGCTGTGGCAGGAAGGTTTGCTGTGTCTGTCAGCATAGTGTGCAGCGGCTGGAGGAGCTACCAGGAGAAAGGCCAGTACAACAGGAGACTTGAAGGAAGCCATAGGAGGGCAACAACCCAGCAGCAGGACCACTACCTCTGCCTTTTTGCAAGGAGAAACAAATTAGCACTGCCAGAGCCCTGAAAAATTACCTCCGGCAGGCCACAAATGTGTATGTGCACAAACGGTTAGAAACCGACTCCATGAGGATGGTATGAGGGCCCAATATCAGCAGCAACCCAGCAGCAGGACCACAACCTCTGCCTTTTTGCAAGGAGGAAGAGAAGGAGTACTGTCAGAGCCCTGAAAAATTACCTCCAGCAGGCAGCAAATGTGCATGTGCACAAACGGTTAGAAACCGACTCCATGAGGATGGTATGATGGCCCAACATCTGTAGATTGGGAATGCACAACACCGTGTAGGATACCTGGCATTTGCCAAAGAAAATCCTGATATGCAAATTCGCCACTGGTGCCCTGTGATTAAATCAGGTTCACACTGAGCGTGTGACAGACGTGACAGGGTCTAGAGACACAGTGGAGAGCATTCTGCTGCCTGCAACATCCATCAGCATGACCAGTTGGCACTGGGTTAGTAATGGTGTAAGGTATGTGGCCCTCATTTTCTTTGGAGGGCCGCACAGCCCTACATGTGCTCTCCAGAGGTAGTATGTTTGTCAGGAGGTACTGAGTTCATTAGACCCCTTGTGAGACCATAGGCTGGTGTGGTTGGCCCTGGGTTCCTCCTAATGCAGGCCAACGCTAGTCCTCCAGTGCATGAAATGTGTAAGCAGTTCCTGCAAGATGAAGGCATTGAAACTATGGACTGGCCCATCTGTTTCCCAGACCTGAATCCGACTGAGCACATCTGGGACATCATTTCTCGATCAATCCACCATCACATTGCACCACAGACTATCCACGACTATGCGGATGCTTCAGTCCAGGTCGGGGAGGAAATAAGGAGGAGATCCCTCAGGAGACCATTAGCCACCTTATCAGGAGCATGTCCAGGCGTTGTAGGGAAAGTCATAGAGGCTTCCAATATGGAAAGGGAAAAAAGTTTAAACAAAGTTGCAAGAGATAAGTAGACCCTGCCAACATGGGGCGGTCACCCACCGAAACAGTTTAGAACCGATCATAACTATAGATGTTAGTTAAAAAAAAAGGCTTTGTAAAAATAGAAAAACCTTTACAGCACCCTGTTGTTGAAATTTTACCCAACATAACAGCTCTTTTGGAACATAATAAAGGGGATCAATAAAATCTTTCTTTGTTGCAACTTTTGTCTCATTAAGGTTACAACTGATGCCGATAGCTTTTCATGACCGATACCAATACAGATTCAGCTAATGAATGAGCCACGCTTGGGTCCTGGTAGTATGAAGCGCAAAACCCCGCTTTGGGGCTGCTCTACATGAATAAAAATCGCACCAAATTAAATAGATTTATCAGCTATTTTTAATCAGAAAAATGTAAGTAACAAGCTGATAAAAAAAAATCATAAAATCGGTCGATATTTTATCTGTCCAATAAATACCATGCATCCCTAGCTGTTAGCCTCTTGTTGCTCTAAACTTGATAATTTGTTTAATTGTCTGAGAATTTCCGCAATCCAAATTCAGCACTCTGCTGACCCTGTTTTGCATTTTTTTCTTCCTTGGTATTTTAGCTGAGTGGTATTAAACAGAATAATTGACTTTAACAGGAATAATTACATTTTAATCCGTTTTAGCATGGATAAAGTTTATGTGTCTGTGCTTTTTTTTTTTACAAGTGATCTTTTTACAAGTGATTCTTTTTAGTTAACAACTTGATTGTATAGATACATTTGAGGTTTTGTTACTGAATAATAATTATCATTAGCAGTTATAAATGTTTAAGTGTGTTAAAACAAAACACAGGTTCACAACTGGTTAAACACCCACATTTAATTGTAAATTAAGCTAATAAACGTTAAGAAAACTCATTAAAGGCTGGTAGGCATTAGTCACAATTATCTAAAATATCTATTAATTGTGGATATTTTTTAAATAAAAGTCAAAGAAATTCAAATTTTTAAGTTAATCTATATTCACAATAAAATGAGCCTAATTGCACAACATTCTTAACTGTTTATGATGTTGAAATTTGGAGCTAAAATTATATTTAAATAACTTGCACAATTTTCTCAAGTCTCACTTTCTCAAATCAAAGTTGGTCTGTTGACTTTTAAGTTCTGCTGTTAAAGAAACCCAAAAACTTGCTGATGATGATCATTATTTTATTAGTGTTTGTAAATACAGAGTAGAGGAATATAAACTATTTTTGAGGGAAGAAAACCAAGATAAATAATCCGTGCAAAAGAAAAATGCAATGACTTCAGTTTATGCATCATCTCAGATGCCTTAGTTTTAAATGCCCGTTTGAGTAAGGACTTTTTTGCCCAAACGAATCATCACTCAGTCCATGTTTAAAAGGTTTATAATGGGAAACACAATAATCAGTGTTTACTTAAAAGTATTCTTGACAGCAAACTAGTGTTGCACCGATACCAATACCAGTATCGGGAGGGCCCCTATCCAGCACTACAATGGTGGTATCAGTATCAGCAAGTACCAAAAATAGGGCACCGATACAATTTTGAGAGCCAAAAGTTTATTCAACTATTGTCACCCATTCCAGGTCGGCAATAAAAAGTTCTACTGGATCACTTTGTTTTAGTCTTAGTTTTCCCGCTTCACAAAGGTAGGCAGCAGCTTGATAAGCCATGATGGCAACTATTTTACATCCAAGTAGTATGCAGTTCTTCATATATACACACACTTCAATTTCAAACAGATGGTATCTGTATCGGCCAATACTGCACAGACAGGCATCTGGTATCGGGAACAAAAAATGGCATCGGCGCAACACTACAGCAAACACTGATGCAGCTGAGCAAAAAACTGCTGTCATTAAAGACATCTGCAGAGGTAATGTAACTTACCACCTGGCAACCGGTAGCACACATGCAGACTGGAAGACTAAAATCAACCTGTACCAAAAGGTTTTCTAAGGCCGCATATTTACCTCGCCCTTTTTGATTGAAAACAATTTAATGGACTCAATCATATTTTCTTACATTAACTAAGGTCCTAAGCAGGAAGCTTTGTACCGCCGTTTCTTCTAAGCTATGGTGGATGTGCATCTGTGATCACCACAATAAGTGAAGAGCACTATATGAACAGCGATGGCTGTTGGGAAGTAACTAGGACCAGGAACATGGAATGTTTGAGCAACTCGCTTAGCGGGAAACAGTAGTCGTAGTCATAGTAGTCCCTAATGAAGAGCGATTGTTGAGCTAACAGCACTGCTGAACTGTCATAGGTCTGTCAGTATTAGAAATTGAACTTTATCTTCTGTTTACAACCAGTGTAAAACTGTTACAGGCACTATTGTATGCCTTTTAATGTAAGGGATTGTGTAATGTAAATCCCTTTATCGTCCCACAATGGGGAAATTTACTCTATGCATTTAACCCATCCCCTTGGGGAGCAGCGGGCTGCCATGGTGTGGCACCCAGGGAGCAGTGTGGGGTTAAAGGTCTTGCTCAGGGACCCAGGATGTGGGGATCGAACCGGGTACGAAAGTTGTTTTTCAAAGACCTTACATAAAATAACAGAGGCTTCTAAATAAAGCTAAATGATTACAGCGTCTTTCATTTTCAATAATAATCTATATGAAGTAATATCCTTTCTCCGTTGATTTTCAATTTTAATTTGTTTTAAGGAATAAGCCTCAAGGAACTAAGCAAATGATTTTACTGCAAGTTTATATAAAATACAGTATTAAGATAAAGAAATATGTGTGTAGAAGAAAAATAGTTTTAATCAAATGACCACTGACTGCAATAAAACAAATCAAAAGGAAGTAACTTCACCAAATAAAAATTGTATCATAGCACCTATTTTGAGAGATTAAATGAAGTATAAATTGGATCAATATGATCACAAAATAGAAATTAGACCATCTTAATTATTTACAAGTTCTGTTTTATTATTATTATTCAATATAAAGCTAAATCAGACAAATGTATTTGGATTCAATATTTTACACACTTCAATTGTAATGAATACTACACATGCAGAGATCAGAGATGAAGTGTTTATTTCAGATGTAAAATCTGTTAAATAATGCTCACCAAGAAGAAGACTTTTCTTAAGAATATCCAATAGCAACACAAAACATTTTAAGGAGTTCAGCTCCTTGCAGCTGCCTAAACATCAACACTGGTGTTCATTAATCAGTGACGTCTGAACAGTGTTATTTATTTACGCGTGATGAATGGCTTCTCTTCAATGTGTGCTGCAATTCGTATCTTCATCAAATTGTAGTCCCAATTCATAGGCATCAACCCACATCAATTTTGTGCCTTCCTCGTTGCTTTTATATTTATGAAAAAAGCAATATTGATTTGTGAAAAAGAAACAATAATATTCTGTCATTTCCATTCAATTTAGTTTTGATCTAATTAGACTAGTTATAACATAAGCTATGACAGATCATGACTCTATGGTGAAACCAAACAATTCTAACAATCTCCTGGTTTTATGAATTGGAGTCATATCCTCGTTTTAAAGCAGTTAGCTATAACAAACAAAAGTTAAAATAACTATAAATCAATATTCAATGCGGAATGAAAATTACGAATGTGGGAAGGAGCAAAACCACCAAACATTCTTTTTTTAATCTGCCTTTATCAGAGCAGCTGATGAAACTTTTTAACAGACTTATATCCAATCTTACCGTAGCTTGTACGTGAAGCCAAAAAGCTATTCAGCTCCATGTTTTTTGATATGCTTTACACAAGCACTTTTCCATTTGAACTTGACATTACAATAGGGACAGGTGAAAGGCTTTTCTTCAGAGTGCCGTCTCATGTGGCGCTTCAGAGATGCGCCCTGACCGAAGCTCCGGCCGCAGGTCGAGCAGCTGTAAGGCTTCTCTCCAGTGTGGATCTTAATGTGAACAGCCAGGGAGGATTTCTTTTTGAAAGATGCTTTGCAGACAGAACAGCTGAACTGTCTGTCCTCTCTGTGGAACCGGGTGTGTTTTATCAGAGTTACTTTCAAAGTAAAAGCTTTATTACAGACAGAGCAGCTGTAGGGTTTTTCTGAAGTATGGTGAGACATGTGATTTATCAAACTTTCTTTACGAACAAACTTTTTCCCGCATACCGAACAGTTGTATGGTTTTTCTTCAGTGTGTAGTATCATGTGCCGTGGCATACTCTCTCTCCTTTTAAACTTCTTCCCACAGACTGAGCAGCTAAAAGGTTTCTCCTCAGTGTGACTTTTCATGTGATGAGTTACACCTTCTTTCCTTTTGAACTTCTGATCGCAGACAGAGCAGCTAAAGGGTTTGTCTTCAGTGTGACACACCATGTGCCGATTTAGGTCCTCTTTCCTTTTAGATTTTTGTCCACATATGGAGCAGCTAAAGGGTTTGTCTTCAGTGTGCCGTAACATGTGCCGGGTTACGTCTTCTTTCCTCTTAAACGATTGTCCACACACAGAACAGCTGAAAGGTTTGTCTTCGCTATGACATACCATGTGAGAAGTTAAGGTTCCCTTCCTTAAGAACTTTGCTCCACAAATGGAGCAGCAGAAGGTTTTCCCTGTGGTGTGAATTCTCATATGACAACGTACATTTTCCTTTCTTCTAAACTGTTTCCCACAGACAGAGCAACTGAAAGGTTTCTCTTCACTGTGTATTCTCATGTGTTGAGTCAGGTCCCTTTTCCATATGAAAGCTTTGCTACAGGTCGAACAGCTGAAGGGTTTTACTCCTGTGTGGATTCTGCTGTGTCTTAACAAATTTCGTCTGCGATTAAATGTTTTGCCACATTCACTACACCTGAGTAACTGCTCACCTGTCTCGCATCTTGCATCATCTACGGGAAAGGTGTTGATCTGTCCAAAGTCTACAACTGATTGAGGGTCCATGTTCTCCTCGAAGTTTCCATCACTGACGTCCGTCTCTGAAGAACCTGAGGCTCTGTCCTCATCTGATTCTTCACCCGCAGAGTCTGTGTTCACCTCAGTCTGACTCTTATGAAGCTCTGAAAGCCGATGTTTCTCTTCATCATCGTCCATCTTGACAGGAACAGGACTGAATATAAATTCAATGATCTCAGAATCGTCCTGTTCCTCTTTGATAACCAGTGGCTTTAAGTCCTCCTGATCCCGTTTGGGACATTGATTCTGGACATCTACAGGAAATAGAAACAAAGACCAGATATGAATAGTTATATCGTGACTAAAAAAGCAGTAATGTGTGAGAGATGATATGAGTTAAAATAATACATTTCATTTTACAGCTTCAGAGGGGCCTAGTCTCATTCCTTTTTAAATATCTTCAATATCTTCCTCTGGTTGCATTACAACACCCTGCTGCTGTAGTATTTATTTTTGGTGTGTTCTAATTTTAGTTTTTGCTAAATTTGTTAGTTATAAAAATAACACCTGGTAACTGGAGGTACGATAATGTACATGCGTATAGTTGGTAAACAAGCTGAACCAATGGAGGCGAGCTAGCGTAGAACTCCCAGCAGGGTTAAAATAATGCAAAAAAAAAAGTTTAAAGTTTTCCAGCTGGACAAGCCTTAAATAGGTTTTCATTGAATTTAGTGGGGAAGGCTGTTATTGCAAAGTGAAAGCTTTGTGTTTAGGCCTTGCCTCAGTTTGGTCATCTGTTTCTATAAATTTTCAGGTACTATAAAAATCACAACAAAAAACCTGCTAGATGCTCTTAACTTGTTATTTATGAATGTATTTTATTTTATCAGCAAGTGATATTGTGACATGATTTCTTTGTAACTTTCTATTAGTATTTGAA